TCACACACACACATGAAAATAACTCATCGCATAGTATTTTGCTTTTCTTGTTGATACAGTTTTCATCATTGCTTATAGATCTATGTGGGATTGAAGGAGGGGGAGGGAGAGGAGGAAAAGGAGGCGGAGCAGGAGGGAAATCGGTTGAAGTCTTTGAAAGCATTGTGTAAAAAAAAAAATTCACTCCCTGGTGCGTTTTCGTGCAATGCTAACTCCGATAAGCGAGTGCGTGTTTAGAGAGTGCGTCCTTTGATGACGTAGAGAACCTAAACTGCACTTCCTGGAAACAGATCTAGACTAGTCTTGATTTATAAGTGAATGCAGCTGCGTTTTTGAGATAGATCTAGAAAGATTGTAGCCCCTCAGTCTTCTCAAATCACCTTCATTTAGTGTTCTTATGTGAAAACTCTCTGTCGGTATGCCTGTTGGTATACCAGTTTTGTACTAAAGTAAGCTGCGTGATGTTACTTTGTTGTTGATTTACAAGTATTTCACTCGAAAAGGAGAGTCGGTTGAAGTCGACAACTCACAGCGTGGTGCAACTTATTGTCAAATGTCTTCTCAGCTATCAAACAGAAACTCTCCACTCTCCAACTTTTGCAAAATAACTTTATCAGTTTATCTCATCAAATCAACATTTTTGTAAATATCTGTTTACTGTTTTCTAGAAAATTCCATTATGGACACTAATAACAATCCCAGTGTTTCAGTTTGTCTTGATGTCTTGCTTTTCCAGCAGTGAATGTCTTTATTTAAAATTCAGACATTAGGCTCTACTTCCTAGGTGTCTTCTCTGGTGTAGCTATTATGTTATTTGCCGCCATATACAGAAGATGCGAGTTCGCTTCCAGCGTGGACACAGTTCTATTAAACGACCATCTTGATCTTGGTCTATATGTTGGGATTTATCATGTTGTATCCAACTCAGCACAGGTTGTCTCTTCACTGGTAGAAATGAAGGAACTCGCGTCTCCTAAAGGACCCAAAAAGGCACCACACTCCCTCAGAGACACAAGCCTACTCGAGCATTCGTATACACACACACACACGCACACACACATACACACATACACATACACACACACACACACACATACACACACACACATACACATACACACACACACACACA